GCCACAATGGGGAGGTGTAGACTGTCTGACCGATTGGGGTCCTCAGAATGATAAGAAACAATGAAGGCTGAAGACAATTGGTGATATAGCTGAAAATCTTTATTGTCAATCAATGTCTGGTGCAAATGCACCCCACTCTTTGTGATTCGTCATATCCAATAAAACTCTGTTGTTCTTTCACATCACTTCTGTTTATTATCTCTCTTTTGTGTTGTTTTGTGTGATACGCGGAGAGGAGGGGGGGTGAGGGCGGCAACTCCAACTGGTGGACATGTGTGCAAAGTTCTCTTTTGAAACTAGTCACTCATTCAGATGATCCTCAAGTTAAGACGAAACAGCTGTCCATTACTCGATAATTGTCTCTGACTGATGTGTAACTTCATAAAAAAGTTTACTTTGGAAAATTTTGAAATCTGAATGTTTAAAAAATATTCATTCATACATTTATAAAACACAAAATAATTGAGCCAGCAAAGAATATCCTTTCAGTAAAATTCCTCTTCTGGATCTACAATTATATATGCACACATTTATATACATAGAATATTCTAGATTAGTAGTCAATAACAATATTAGTGCCTCTTCAAATAATATCGATTTGTAAAGTAAGATCACGATGGAATTACAGTTCATTAAACATGCTTAAGTTATATTAATAATAAAGATATAGTACTGGACAGCTGCTGTTTCATCCTAGTTTGGGAATCATCGGCAGTACGCACCCACTGGGATTCGAACCCGGGACCTTCCGGTTACAAGGCAAGCTCGTATACCATTCAGCCACTGGGACCCGATTCAATGGCTCGTGAATTCTAACTTCTACTAATTCGTGATTTAGCTCGCTAGTGACTTGCTACAGGTTGGAGTTTCCTGAGTTCTAGTGAGAAGTCGTGACCAGTGAGGTCCAATTAGATGTCACGTGTGTGGATGGATGTCCCACCAATGACAATGGCTGGGGTCGCGCTAAATCACGAATTAGTAGAAGTTAGAATTCACGAGCCATTGAATCGGGTCCCAGTGGCTGAATGGTATACGAGCTTGCCTTGTAACCGGAAGGTCCCGGGTTCGAATCTCAGTGGGTGCGTACTGCCGATGATTCCCAAACTAGGATGAAACAGCAGCTGTCCAGTACTCCCTGGTTTTCAATGGTTCTCTAACTGATATCACTCCGTGATCAACCTGTAAAACATAACTAATCCTTACAAACCAAACTATAGAAAGATATAGTAGCAAATAGAATATCAACTAAAATTAGGAAACTTCAACAAAAATTCAGAATCACTTAAACCTAGATGGCCAAGGCAATGATAATGTCTGAACTAACTACAGTCTCAGCAATATTTAGTAGTCGAACTCTTAGGGCAAAATTGAGATTCTTAGGTTTGCGGTAAATTACCCTGAAAGCTGCCTGGTTAACGTCAATCTTGTGTTCTGTATCCACAAGGTCAGTGAGATAGAATCGCGCTGCGAATAGATTTTGTTTGTCCTTCGCCTAACCAACCACCCAGACTGATGTTCGGAAATTCGACGAGAAACATGCCTAATTGTGCGGTCTATGTAAGTGGCTCACTCCACAGGAGCAGTTAAATTGGTAGATACAAATGAAAGAGGCAAAATTAGGCAGTTTTTCTTTTACTCCCGAGCGCAGAAGAGGAGTGTTTTTGAAGACACAAAGTAATTCGGCATCATGGAATGCTCTTTTTACCGCATTTTCAAGACTGTCTGTTAGTATCTTGCTGATGTTATTCCCAAGTGTGGTGAGAGCTGGCTGTTAGCCAAAACTGGTAGACAGTATTTTACGTCAATGTTTATGTCCCCAATATTGGTCGTAAGAAAAATGAGAAGGAAGACTTTGCGTAGGCGGCGGATACAGTTAACATAGAGATGATCTGACATTCAAGAAACAGCCACAAAGAGATGCATGGTTAACTTTCAGTGAGGAACAACCAATTAGAAAACTGTGTTTGTCTGCTAACAAAAATCTGTAATAATGTGCATGAAAATCTATAAATATGTGTTGATTTCCTTAATAAACAATCGGTTGCCTGCCCTTGTCTTCTGTTCTTACACAAGGAACTGCCTTTGTAAGAATAAAGCCTTTGCGGGAACTGTTGGTACCTTGATTTTAGATTCATATTTTTATCAATAACGTTTTATGGATAATCATTTTCACTCAGAATCCATTTCATATTATTAAGTTCCTCACCAAGACGTTCATCCGAGTAGATTGCTCTTGCTCTGTGAACCAGGCATTTTACCAGGTTGCGTTTGTATTTCAAGAGTACAAAGCTGAAAAAATGAGTATACTGACAGTCAGTTGATGTAGATTTTCTATATACACTTCAACTTATTCTGTCATCCTCTTTTCTGGTCATAAGGACGTCTAAAAATGAAATACTCGAGTCTTTTTCTTTCTCAACAGTATTGTTATTGACTACTAATCTAGAATATTCTATGTGTATAAACAGATATATAATTGTAGAGCCAGAAAATGAATTTATCGAAAAGGATATTCTCTGCTGGCTCAATTATTTTGTGTGTTTAAAATATGTTGTTTTAACTTTAAACCCTGAAACAAAAGTAAAATTAAATGCAGAAATAATCTTATGACAATAAATAACAAAATCTATTTCACTGCAATATTGTTCTGTCCAAAATTGAAATTGCTTTCCTGAATGTTGAGTAGTTTTCATGTCTGTTACGCACTTACACACATACATACATACACATGAACCAGCAAACGTACTCACAGACAAAAATAATCTCTTTCTATATGGCTTAAAGTTGGCAATATTTGTTTTGATATTATAGAAGTAGTAGTAATAATAATAATAATAACAATAATAATGTTATTTTTGTTTTATTCGTTCATATTCGTAATTAACGCATTTGTAGCTAAGTAACCGATAAAAGGCGGTGTCATTTTGAATAATATGCCTTTTTTTCTGTCAATATTTTTTGTACACTTTAACATAATGTTGTGTTTTCAAGCTGTCAATCTAACTAGTGTTGATAGTTAAACATAAGAAAAGTTAATGAAACATGACAGAAATAGAAGTTGGTTACTAAGTTACTGACTGTCTGACTAATTAATTGATTGATTGATTGATTGATTAACTGAGTAACTGACTGACAGACTGCGTAAACATATATATACTACTCACACACACACACACCAAAGAGTGTAGTGCTTGCTAACCACTCAGATAGTAGTGATGTAAGCACCGGGCGGCTATTTCAGTCGGGTTATTTGGTGGAGCACATTAGCGGTGCTCGTGGTTTGACTCAGTTCAAAGAACACAATCAGTTGTAACCACCCAATTTCTGGCTAGCTAGCAATACTGAACAAATAAATTTTGTGAAGTACGTTGATGATTTAACACTTTCAATGGCTGTTAACTCCCAGCTACATTGCACCAAAATAAATAACTTTCTGTCGGCAGCCAGTAAATGGTCTGAGTCTAACGGTCTTAAACTGAATCCTTCTAAATGTCAAACTGTTAATTTCAGCTTTAGATGTAAAAGACAGTTAAAAGAAGTCATCGATTCTCATGACAGTTGTAAAATTGACGACAATAATACAGGAATCAAATCAGAAATTAAGTATCTTGGACTTATTCTCTCTCTTCTGATCTCTCCTGGTCTTCTCATGTCTTAGCGATCTCTAGTGAAATATTCCGCCTGACATTTTACATTAAGAAGAAGTTAAGACACTCGGGTATAACTCAACCCCTCATCTTACAGTTTGTCAACTCTTGCATCCTACCTATTCTTCTTTATTGTTCACCCTTATTCCTTCCCGCTTTGCTTTAAAAGGACTATGTGACAATTCGCAGAATGCTGAAGACTGTCAGTCAGTAGGGTGAGTGGTGTCCCAGTGGACCACATAGTTGACATCGTCGTCGACAGGCATTTGACTTCGTGCAATAAATTTGCTAGAGGGATTTTGTCTCACTTGGAGCATCCACTTTACCCTCCCTCAGGTTTCACCTCGCGTCTCCTAAGGTAGAACAAGAAGTAACTTCAGAAAACTATGTGCTCGCACGTCTAAGTATAGAAATTCTATGATACCATACCTGGCACCTATTTTATGTGATGAAAATAGTGTCAGGCAACAATTAACTAACCTTTTTTCATCTAGTAAATAAACAATTTCCTCCATCCATCCATCCATTCTTATATACCTTCAAATTTTACTTTTATTATTTCTATTATATTTATGGTCCTGTTGCTTCTTTGTTTGTTTTACTCTCATAATCGCAAACACCAACTTATCTCCATGACGGCTGTAATCTTTGTTTTTCCCCTCACCATATCATCATGTAAAGAGAACATTAAATACAATATTTTTAAACATGTTAGGATTTCTATACCGCATATAACGACAATACTGTGTGAAACAAGCCCACGGAAATTCTCACTTGTACTATCATTATTATTATCTTAGCTGTTATCATTATTGTTATTATTTCCATTTTATATGCTGCATGTTTTTGACATTACCCACCTCTTTTGTAAATGTGGAAAATTTTCTGTGTGATTAATTTTTTATTTATAATTTGAAGAAATTAGATGGGATATTGTGATTAGTGCTGAAAACTCCATTCTGTATCACAAGTACTGTTTTTGGAATAAAGTAAATCATTATTATTATTATTATAGTTAGATCATGAACTGATTTCAGTTAAAGAACCTTTGAACATCAAGGAATACCGGGTAGTTAATTATATCACCTTACTTTATGAATATTCGAAAAATGCGCACCTACGACGTGGTCTTGAACCCGAAAGTTCTGGTTCTTATCTTCAATGGCGGGATAAGTTTACATTGTCGAGGAAGCCTGGTACTGGGACAAAACAGCCATATAATATTTCTCAATGGTTTGTAACAAATCTACACTGTAGTTTTGAATGTATATTTATTAACTAAAGACGATCAGTTCAAAAAGGTGTGAACTGTCATCTCTAACTTCCATTTTATCTTTTATTCTTCATGAATAGTTTATTCTCGTAAACGACGTGGTGCCTCAAATAATCCCGTTGGTGAAGGAGTGGATGAAATGAATGAAGACAAGTATTCAATCGATAGTGATAATCAGTCAGTATTGTATGATGAAAATGTTCAATCGTCTTTATCATCTAAAATTCCTGTAATTCAATTTCGACGATTACAAAAAGAGGTGAGTTGGCTGTTTGAAAATAAATCTGGCTATTTTTATTTTTGTCACTTTGGTCATTGTAAAACTGTATCTGGTGAGAGTTTCAAAGTGATTTGGAATGAGGTCTAATCCTGGGTTGAATGGGTAACTCTGCACTTCATCGCTAACAGAAACCGGTGTACTTCAAAGAGCTGTGCTGTACTCTCGCCATTACTTTCTGCTTTCTTTTTGCATGATAATCCATATTCTTCCAAAGATAACTTCATTAAACATGCTGATGTTTCAACTATTTCTGTCCTAGTTGTTGTTTCTGCATTGGACTGCTCTAATATGAAAAGATTCTCGTTTTTGAAGTTAACAAATGGTCTCACCTAAATGGCTTTAAACTAAATAAATCGAAGCGTCATACTGCTGATCATAGTTTCCGATGTGGACGAGACTTGCGTGGACTGATTCAGTCGCATGATTCCCGTAATATTCACGACACTCTTCGAATCTCCTCTGTTGATCGTCTCATATCCTGTTGATTTCTAAGTAAACATCTTTCGTTTGACTTGTTACATTGAAAATTTGAGACTTTCTTCAGGCATTACTTAACCTCTTCCTTCTTTTAAGATTTGTTAATTGGTGAATTCTACCCATTTCTCTTCTTTACTGTTCACCATTATTTCTTTTCTGGATTCCTTGAAAAAGATCATATCATATCACGTAGAACAATGAAGATTTTAATTAGGATTCGTGGTGTACCTTTGATTCAAGTAATTGACATCATTATCAATAGGCAATTCAATTCTTGCAAGCATTTGGCTAAATCTGTCTTTGTCTGATACCCCTGAACATCCTCTCTACTTATTCTCAACTTTCTCCTTGTATCTCTTCTGGGGATGTAAGCAGAAGAAACTTCATAAGCATTAACACCTGTACAACTACTAAATATAAAAATCCTACCATACCCACCATATTTAGCACGTGTGGTTGAGTGTGCAGGGGATTCACATGTCAGAAAGGAACTTATAAACTTTTTTTAAATCAGTAATCTGAACTGCAAAGCATCTATGGTACTATCTACTTATGCTTCAGTATGTTTCCACCAACATTTTGCTTATAGTAGTAGTGGTTTCATCATTATTATTATTATTATCACAATTACTATTTTAAATTTTATGCATGTACCTATTTATAAAAGGAGCTAAATTGTTGAAATATGTATAGAAGTTGAAGCACGTTAGCCGTTGACGATTGTGATTCTTGGCCATATCCGATAACGTTTCGAGCCACCAATTCGAGCTGTCTCGCGGACCGATGCTAATCTACCACAAACATCCTTCATCCCACGACGCCACGTCATGGACTGACCACCTACCCCCCTCCATCTTTTCCATCCCGTTCCACGGCTGGCCAAAGAACAGAGACCTGTACGGAAGCCCTTGTAATGGCATTCACAGCACATGTCCAAGCCACCGGAGCCGGTGTTTCCAGATGACGACACTCAATGAATTTTGGTCTCAACTTTGTTCAGACACACGTCACCGAACATCATAATTACTCACGCGATGATGCCATCGAACGCAAGCAATCCTACGAAGACAGCGATGATCGAACACGCAGAGTCGCCACACATCTTCAGCCCACTCGGAGAGGTCAGGTTTCACAGGCGTAGACCAGGACACCTCGCACCGAAGCATTGTATACCCGACCTTTGACAGACAGGCTAACGTTGCGACGGCGCCAGAGGTGACTCAAGTTGATGTATGCCACCCTAGCCTTCATTATACGGTTGGAAATCTCATCCGTTATCCCTCCGCCAGCACTCATGCAACTACCCAGGTACACAAACTTATCAACAACTTCAAGCGGTTCACCCGCAAGAATGAGTGCAGGTACAGGCTCCTGCTAATCTTATAACAGTACTCACGGACACTGATCGCCAACTGATTAAGTGCGACTTGGGCAACCTGCATGCTATCGCAAAGTAAAACGATATTGTCTGCATACTCGAGGTCGAGAAGTCTATCTCCAGGTAGCAGATCTACACCACCTTCACGCACATCCTTCAGAGGTGACTAAAGAATGTCATCGGAGGCAAAGTTAAAGAGAAATGGAGAGATTGGGCAACCCTGTCTAACCCCACTGTTTGTTGGGAACAGTGATGATAGGTGGTTGTATGTCTGAGGTGTTTCTGTATAGGGCTTTCAAGATGTTAACAAATTTCTTAGATACACCTCTCTCTAACAGACAGTCCCAGAGCACAGTTCTATCCAACGAATTGAAGGCAGCCTTAATATCAAGAAGCACAACGATCGTTGGCCTGGAATACATGTGGCGGAGTTCCAACAACTGAAGAAGGGAACACCGCTACACGTATTCCAGGCCGACGATCGTTGTGTTTCTTGATATTAGGGCTGCCTTCAATTTCTTGGACAGAACTGTGCTCTGGAACTGGTTTAGGCTTACCAATGACTGAATTTCAGTAAGAAGGAAACATTTGGTTAATCCTGATCAAATTTTGCTCAGATGTGTATATGTATCAAAAATATTATTTGAGGATTTGATTTGTTTGAAATTTTGATCACAGACTAATATCAGTTAGAGAACTATCATTGAAAACGACGAAGGTGTACTGAATAGCTGTTTCATCTCTTTGGAAGTATGCACCTTGGCCCCACCAAGAATCCAACCTGTAAAAAATCAAATCCTTACAAACTTACTCTTGAAGTTATTCTGACGCTTACTGGTAATTGACTGACTACAGCACTTGGTTGATCAGAGTTCTTCTGAGAAGTTGTGGCTGCTGGGATTAGTCCACCAAGTCTGGGGATAGGGATAAATACCCACTGATGACATTTAGCTGGCGGTCTCAATAAAATCACAAAACGGACAGAAGCTGGAATTGACGAAGTACTGGATTCTCTGCTAGTCGCTCAATGGTTAACATGTTAGTTTTGTAACCTAAACACTCCGGGGGGGGGGGGGAGTGAATTCACTAATGCGTACTTCCAAGGAGTCCTGAAGAAAGAAGAAACGGCTGTTCCAACAGAGTTCAGTTGGTGTGAAATGATTCACCTCTCTGAGATATCCCAGACTGCGTAAATTTACTGATGAGCTCGTCTGCAAGCCAACACGAATCCACCATCTGACGTTTAGATCACTTCCGTCTGGTTGACTAGCAACCTCTAATGCTGCTTCATGTATGAATGGTATTCAGCTACTCATATCAGTCATTCAGTAGTATGTAGGCTTTCTTGACTTCGGTCTGACATCTGCAAGTTGTGAATTCGATCTAACACTGATGGCAATCGATATTTCGTTATGCTATTTGCATCCATCACAATAAATATCTTGTTTCTAGTATCCTATATGTGTTTGAATGACCAAAACAGGATATTTTGAACACCGTCAGCTGTCCAATATATAATCTTGTCTAAAATGTGCATCAATGCGTTCTAGTATCTTACCTATACGAGAAAAAATGATACCAAAACGTAAAAATTCTTCACTTAACTTGTAGAATTAATTTCTCCCCATTCTTTCCCCAGTTCTTTTCCAGTCAATATATACTTTGTTGTACATCATATAAGGAGCATTTTCTTGCAATGTACTACTATTACTAATGCTACTGGTGAAGTACTTTTTTATTTGTTATCCTTATTGTTCAAACTGATGGTGCTGTCAAGGATGACAGCGACACGTGACGCATGTGTATATTTCCTATTTAAACTTTTATCAATAATGACAGGTTAGAATTTTGATGAATACGAAAATAGTTTAGGAAATGAAGAGAACATTTAAGAATAAAGTTTTTCTATGAGAATAAATGAAAATAGGAATAGTGGAAAATTTTAAAGCAGTCTGATTAACGATATATATCTTTAAAATAGTTTAACTGATTAAAAATGCCCATTAAAATTTTCAAAATCAGTCTCCACAGTTATATATATACATTATAGTGAATGAATGAACAATATTAATGTTACTGTTTAAATAACATCGAATCAATAATATTAATAGATTACAGCTAAATAGCATCAACATAACAATAAGCTGAATGTCAGAAAAATTAGGAGAGATAATAATGCAATGAATTCATGAATTTATAGTCTCTACTGAAGGCCTGCCAGGGCAGTAATAGGGGCTTCGCTCCCTATCAATAAACTAGGAGTTGACGTAGTCCAGTCAGTCCTGTAGCAGCATCTTACATTTTACAGCACGAACGAATCGCATGCCAAACATACGCAGATTGCTGCTCAAGGTGTTCAGAAGACTCTGCATTTTGTCACCATCCTCCCCTAACAGGACTATGTCATCTGCATATTCTAAGTCCATAAGACTATTCCCTGGTAATAAGTCGATTCCTAAGTCTTTGCGTTCAGTTCAGGATACTTCCATTAGTATAAATATGATGAAGGTAAACAAAAATGGGGAAAGTGGACATCCCTGTCGGACACCACTGGTTGTTATCAATTCAGATGACAATTCCCCATAAGCCCTTACACGACTACATGAGTTTGAATAGAGTGCTTTGATTAGTGCAATGTAATTTCTTGGCACTCCTTTCACAGTCAAACATTCCCACAGTACCTTTCAATCCACGGAGTCGAAAGCCGTCTTCAAGTCAAGAAATATGTGTAAGTACATTTACACCCAGTGGAGGAATTCTAAAATAAAGAAAGAAACGCATGTTGCTGATTCGCCATTTGTCAGTTACCATCAAGTAAACAGCATTCCGTCTCAGTAGCTGAATGCGAACCTGTAGGTCATAAGTCTCAAACAAGGGATAAAACAACTAGCTGTCCAGTACTCTCTACTGGGTTTGCGATGGCGTTTTTCTCTCTGACTCATGTAATTGTGTCATCAAGCTTTTAAAATCTTTCAACTCTCTGTGAACTGCTACTTATTTCTAACGTTATGATTTGCTGTCTGGTGTGATTTAGTTCACAAGCTTTAAATTCAATTCACAAAAGAAACTGCCTTTATTTACTGTTTCTTATAGATGACTAATTTGTGTGTAGGCTGCGATGAAA